CATCCATGTTGCTGCAAATGGCGTCATGATGTCAGTTTTTATGGCTGAATAGTATTCCATTGTATAAATATACCACCTCTTCTTTATCCAGTCATCTGTTGATGGACATTTAGGCTGTTTCCATGTCTTGGCTATTGTAAATAGTGCTGCTATGAACATTGGGGTGCAGGTGTCTTCTGAAGTAGGGATCCTTCTGGATAAATGCCCAGGAGCAGGATTCCTGGGTCATAGGGTAAGTCTATTCCTAGTCTTTTGAGGAATCTCCATACTGTTTCCCACAGTGGCTAATACCTAAAATTGTTTTGAACTCCAAATATCCATTAAGTAATTGTGATACCAATATTTGAGAAACTGCGGCCTTAAGTTCACACTATTTGGATAGGCTTTTGTCCATATAAAGTAGTATCTCCTCTCTCAGAAGGGTAATCTGATGTTTTACTTAAGTGAACAATTTTATCTCTCTACAGTTCAAGGCTTTTCTTCGGAATCTGAGTTTGAGGAGTATGTTAAGTATGACTATGGATCTTACAAAGTGCTGGCCGCCATTGTTTTTGACTGTGACTTCAAAAACAGTGGTGATCCTCTGCCGCTTCAGGTGAGAAAGTTATATTCCAACATTTCTACATAAATAGCTTTCTAGTAATTGCACTTCCAGTTTCCAGGGTTTTAATGAATTTCATATTAACCCTCTTTTATAAGTGAAGAAACTAATTTTCCCAAGATCAAACTACTAGTATACAATAGGGCAAGAATATAAGTCCAGATCTGAGTAACTTTAATTTCTGTGTTCTTACCTACTGCATCATGCTGATAAGGGCAGAACTGCATCTTCCACTCACAAGACCTTAGATTAATGGCACACTCTAACTACTTGTGCAGTGCTTCTGAGTTGTACAAGGGGTAGTAAAACAGGTAAGCCTCAAAGCAGATACATCTTCACTAACAGACAAGCAAGCATGGAAAGATGTTTTATCTTTGAATGAAACACAGATTTAAGTCATTTCATAAATCTCTAGAGAAAACTGTTAAGGCTCAGCCACGTTGATTCAGATTAGGACATTTATAGGCACTGAGAAAGAATCTGATAACTGCATAGCCCATGAGGAGAGAAAGAGACAATGCTTTGACCTTGGTGTCTCCTTAGTCGATCTTATAGATGTTCCATCCTGGTGGTGATGAAAATAAAAGGGCAATCTGCAACAGCTAGACCTGGAGCCAAATTCTTTAGATCACAGATGCTCGTCAGTAGAAGGCAAAATTAATAAAACCACTAGTAGGTTAGTACATATTTTTTCTGTGAGCCCCATCCTTCCATGACTCTATTCATCTGTGCCAGCTTCCATTTACTAAGTCAGAATTATCCATATGCTGATATGGATTTAGGTTCAACATTTTACATTGGCTCAAAGTGTCTTCAGTGACATTTCAAGTTTCATTCTCATTGCTGATTGTGTTTGTGTCCCCAGATATTTGAACTAGAATTCTGACATCAGAAATTCCCCAAATTTTGTGTCCAGGTGCTTGTTCTGTTTTTGCCCAGCTTTGTTGAGATATAATTGACATATAATACTGTGTAAGTTTACTATGTACAATATGATGATTTGAAACATGTATATATTTTGAAATGATTGCCATAATAAGGTTAGTTGACATTATTCTTCACCTCACAGAATTACCATTTTGTGTGTGTGTGGTGAGAATATTTAAGATGAGTAAGTCCTGGGGATCTAATGTACAGCATGCTGTTTGGTCTACTTTGATGAATTTTTAAACAAACCTTTTGATCTCTGTTGATGACTCGATGTAAAGCATAGAGCTTCTAATATCTACCAGCTTTCCCACATCTTAGATGACTTTCTTTACAGGCTCTTTTGTCCACCTACAAGTGCCACAAGGATCTACGTAAACCTCACATATGATCACTGTCCTGATAAAAAGACCTTAGTGATGGTCATTACCAAGGCTTTTAGAATGCAGTTTCTTATTTGCTGTGGACATGACCATAAAAAAAATTTCCCACTAGGTTTTCTTTCTGCTACTTTGTTAGCGTTCAGCCTACTGGGAACATTTAAAAAAAAAAAAAAAAAAGACCTTAGTGACTTCCCATTGCTCCAGGCTCATGTCCAGACTGCTTTGCACAAGGCACATGGCTATCAGTATCCTAGTGCTTGGATATCTCTGCCACTCCTTAACCATTCTTTCTGCTGCAGCAATACTTAACTGCCAGATGCACCATATTATTTTTTGCTTCTAGGCCTTTGGTCACTTTTTCTCTACTGTAGGAATGCTGCTATGAACTCCCATTCAACTTCCACACCCATTCCTTTTCTGTCTTTTCATCATAACCTGTCTTCATCATAACTTGTCCGTATTTCTATTAGTCAAAATTCATATGGGAGCACAGACACTACTGTAGGTATTTCAACAAAAGGGTTTTAATAGAAGGAAATATTTACACATTCACATTCTAGATTTTAGTCACTCTTGACCATCACATTAGAGGGTCTAGTTTGCTCACCTGTTTAGGTGAACCATAACCTTCTTGATTAGTAGAGTGTTATCCTTAGGTGAAATTTAATAGGCATTTTCAGTTTCTTCTCTCAGGCCTCCTGCTTCTCTCAGCCTCTGGTAAGCAGATGTCTTACTAGGGCATTTACAGTAGTTGTCACTTCCTGTTTATCAGGTCTAAATGTAAGTGCACATGCAAAGGACTTAAAATATTTGAAACAATTCTGTAAAAGAATAACAAAGTTGGAAGACATACAGAACTTATTATAAGACTAAAATAATCATTACAGTGTGTTACTGGCATATGATCAACAAGTATATCTATGAAACAGAACTGAAATCCCAGAAGTAAATGCTCTCTAATACAGTCATTTGACTTTTGACAAATGCACCAAAGAAATCTGATGAGGAAAGGAAGATGTTTTCAATAAACGTTACAATAATTTGATATATGTGGAAAACAGGAATCTTGAGCTCACTCACACTATGTGCAAAAAATTCATGATGGATTATAGATTTAAATGTCAAAGCTAAAACTAATGCATTTATAGTAAAACATAGACAAATATCACCTTTACTTGGGGGTAACAAAAGTTTTTCAGGTCACACAAAGCAATAACCATAGAAGAAAAAATTAATGGATTGGCTTTTATTGAACTTTAGAAACTTTTTATCATCAAAAGACACTGTTGACTTCTGGTCTGGGCAAGATGGTGTGGACTCATTTCTCCCTGTCCTTCCTCACTAAGCACAGCTATAAACTCTGGACATAATGCAGAGGCAAAGAAAAACTCTGAAAGGTGACAGGAAATGTGCAAATCGGTTAAGGTCCCAGGCCTGGAGGAGCAACATAGGGGCACATACCTTACTGTTCCACACCCAACAGAGGGCAACCAAGACCCAGCATTGTCTGTCTTCCAGCCTGGCAATAGAACACAGCCCAGTTAGGTTCATTTCACTCCACGGTCAGATGGAAGCATTTCTGACATTTGGTGACTCCAGTACCCCCCGCATGAGGATTGCTAACAATTAGTGGCCAGGAAAATATTTTCCTTCCCCACCAGGCCTGAGATGCCTTCCCCTGCCATTGTATACTGAGGCATAAGAGTAGGAGTAAGAGGGATTCATACATTAGTAGCCCAGTCTAGCAAGCCTCTTCATCTCCACAGGCCTAAGACACCCCTCATGGCAAAACACTGGAGTCGGTGGGCCACTAGGACCATCAGTAGGGGCACCACACATCTCTCACTTTAAATCAAAAGCTAGAAATTATTAGGCTTAGTGAGGAAGACATGTCAAAAGCTGAGATAGGCTGAAAACTAGGCCTCTTGCACCAAGAAGTTAACCAAGATGTGAATGCAGAGGAAAAGCTTTTGAGGGAAATTAGACTCCAGTGCTACTCCAGTGAACACTCTAATGATAAGAAAGTGAAACTGCCTTGTTGATAGGGAGAAAGTTTTAGCAGTCTGCATAGAATAACAGACCAGCTACTACATTCCCTTAAGCCAAAGCCTAATCCAGACCAAGGCCCTAACTCTCTTCAACTCTGTGAAGGCTGAGAGAGATGAGGAAGCTGCAGAAGTAAAGGTTGAGGCTAGCAGAGGTCAGTTCATGAGGTTTAAGGAAAGAAGCCATCTCCACATCGTGAAAGTACCAGGGGGAGCAGCAATTCCTGATGTAGAAGCCGCAGCAAGTTATCCAGAAGATCCGGCTAAGATAATTAACGAAGGTAAGCTACACTCAAAAGCAGATTTTTGATCTGGATGAAAAGCCTTATATTAGAAGAAGATGCCATCTAGGACTTCTGTAGCTGGAGAGAAGTCAACGCCTGGCTTCAAAGCTTCAACGGACAGGCTGACTCTGCTGTTAGGGGCTAATGCAGATGATGACGTTAAG